TAGTGAAAGGTATTTGCATATCTTTAAATATTATAAGTTTGTTTGCAGCTGTAGCGGCACTTTGTTTTCTTGCATTTTTAGAGCTAGTTGGGGGTAACAAGTAAACCAACATTAAAATTGCATTGGTACTTGCATTCCAATCTGAAAATAAAATATGTTAGATACATACCTCTAAAAGATAAAATCTTTTAATTAATCTGGTACCTTGGGGGTCCTTATTTTCTTCGTGTAAAAACTTTGTGTTTATATTTGTTGCTGTTGTTGTGTATAGTTTTTTAATTATGGAAATATTTTTTGAAAAAGTTTTATGAAATATATCATTTTCAGGAAACATTAGAGAAAATTCCAAACTTATCTAGAAAACAAAATTTCAAATAAATTAACAAAAAGTATTTTCACCCTTACTAAGCCAGGCGTATCAAAAAACCTGGGAAATAATTTATCGATATCTTGTCTGTGACTGTTTCTAAAGTCAAATGTCTGTCTTGTACGTTCAAAAATATCTTTTATCTGTTCCTGCGTTGCTGCCTTCAAAAACTCTATGGTTTCTTGAACACTCTCATCATACTCATCACTACTGACTGTGGAATTCTCTTGAATTGTAGAATTTCCTTTTTTCACTTTTTTATCTCTAAAAACAGTTCGTAAGCGGCCAACGATGAATCCCCTAAATGCTTCCTAAAATATTGTTAATAACATGGAACAATTTATTATCTGTAAGGACCCAATTTAAAGTCGGATTTGCGATAATCACAAGTCGCATTGTATCGTAACTACTGTCATCGTATCTCCCATGGTAACGGAGACTTGCAACTATCGCAAAATTCAACTTGAAATTGGCTATACTAAATAGACGGTTATACTAAAGCTACTGCACTAGATCGGCAGTACAAGTTGATGTGGTGACCTTAGAATGTACAAGGTATCTTTTTTATTGATAAATATGTGTAGTTTGAATAATTTGTCATGCATTTTGAAATGTGAAGCTCGTCGTTTAAACTTAAATAAATATAAAAAGACACCCTGTATCCTAACATTTTAAAATACGCACGATGAAGGCATACTTACATATCCTTCGTCAGTATGTACATCTTTCAATTTTGGGAACAGTGTTACTATGCATTTAGCATATTGTGTTCTCGTTTCAGCAGAAGGTAAAGTATTGGGGGGCATAAATTGTAACATATGATCAACTGCGATATGCACCAATCGTATCCTATGTTTGTCATCTAATGTTCTATTTTCTTTATAGTAGCTGATTAGTTGTTTGCCCCAAGCATCAGATAACAAATAGTTTTTGAATTCCTAAAACGTATCATTGGTGATACATATATAGTAACTTGTTACCATTATAACGACATACGTGATCAGTTAAATTGTGGTATGAAATTGATGATGTCTTTAGTCGCTTCTTACCAGTAGGGGAAACTATTAATGAATAAGAATCATCATCTTCATCGAAATTTGAGCAGATATCGGATGGTGCCGGGGACGTAGGCAAGGACTGCAAAGTTTCCGTACTGGCACTACTAACTCCTCCGGTATATGCCAATGAATAGGTTGAAAAGGCAGGAGAATTTATATTTCTCTCCGTAGGCAATTGTTCTAAAATTTTAATTTTGATGATTAATGGAATTATTAAGAGTGCAAAAACGAGCAAGCACTATTTTTCCTACTATCGATTAAAAAATACTGCCAGTAATTTTAAACATTGACTATTATTTATGATCTGACAACTTTCTAAACTATATCTACTATACTGATATATCTTTTTGAGTAAAATATTGCAATTTTAAAAGTTTTAAATGTTTACCACCATAAACTCTTTGTCTCTGATATTTTTTTAAATGACTGAAATTGCCTCAGTTTTACGTGTTTTTTGAGCAGAACACTATTTTGTATTTCCATATAGGTACATATATAGTGCAAAGGCAAATGGACCAAATACTCTCAAAGCAATTGTAAACTCGCTAAGCGATTGGAGTGGTACCTTTCAGTATTGTTATTTAACACGTTCAATAGTTTACCTTATATAATGTCTAATAGTTTTTAAATAATTAAAATACCTAAGACTTCATCGTCCTTTACAAAACTCAGTATTACCCCTTTGTTGGAAATGTTTAAAAAGTCGTTTATAAAATCCTCGTTTATTATAGCTCCATCCGAATCACGTATGTTGAAAGAGGATCCCAATAATTCTGGGAAACACTGAGAAGCTGAAGTGTATTAAATTAGGTATATATGCATTACTTTTTTAACGCAGATCATACAAACCTTTAAGTTTAATAGATTCATAATTGCCGCTAACTGAAGCCCATACCAGTGTTTCTTTATAACGTAATCTTACATAATACGTTGTGGATGTGGAAGGGCACGCGTTTATGAAGGTATTTGTAAAGTCGATTTCGTAATTGTTATCAGTCTAAAGAAAATATTTTCATATGAGATTGAAAGAGAGGGTACTTTGGTATAACACAATTTCAAGGTTAACGTATTGGTCCAAACCCAAATATCGCAGCTTCAAGAAACAAAGGAGCAAAGTGGTGCGTAGTTTATCGTTCATATGTCACGTAGCATACAGATTACACTAAAACATGCAATATTTGGCTTTGGCACCGATTAAGCAATTGATAAAAAGGATCCCCATTTAGTTATAAAATAAAACATTGTTAATACTTACCATTGTGCAATCTTTTTGGAAACGAAACTCCACGCAGAGCCCAACAATGCACACACAATGCACCGAATGCTGACGCTGGAGCGGGAAACACACATACCTAACTCATTCGTGTAGTCGAATTAACCCGAATACAGTTGCAAGTATTAATTTTTACAACATAAATGGGTAGTTCAGCACTTCCCGAAGTCAGCGGCACTTTTGTATGTGCAAGTTGACAATATCCAAGTTGTTGATTTCACTTGGCTTAGTTGTGAGGTTGGTTGATGCATTTTGTTAAAAACAGAAACAAAATGTGGTTCGAATCAACAAGTAGGATATTTAAACTATCCCGATTGGGACATCTATGAACCGGAGTAATTGTATGTCCACTTAATTTGCGAATGATTGAACACATGCAAGTTGTTGGTTTCATCACTTGGGTTCTGTTAAAATAGCAGTGGTATGTTATTGCATTATCAAAAATATCTGCATTCAATGAACAACAAAAGAGTGAAATGTAGCCTTTACCAAATGAAATTGTACCATGTTGCTTGTGATCTAAAATTCTTGGTCGTCCATTTACCAAGATTAAACAGTTAATTTAGTCATAAATATTAGTTGTGGGAGCTGTTCCCTTAACAAAACACAACAAAAAGTTAGTTTCACTATTACTAACAATAATGTCCAATTTACATTCAGAAGGGCAGAAATGTACCGTATCAGTTGCGAATTAGTACAAACTTTTTCGTTATATGAGCAGCTCAAAAAGGACAAAAATATAATTGTTAAAACAACAGAATGTAACGGGAAGTCAACAATATTCCGATCAAGCAAATTTTTGAATTCTAAATTTTGCTGTTCCGACAGCAATTTAGTGTTAAATTTAACTGCGAATTATTAACTAAAACTGTTGTTGTAGAAATTAACAAATCATTTTTTACTGTGTATTGTTAGCGCGTTTAGTGGCTTCTTTAAAAGTGTCTAGGTAAATTTTGTCAGATATTGTGATTTTATTTCAAACCCTTACTACATTCCATCATTTGGTGTATCACAGGGGTCAAATCTCGGGTCTGTCCTGTTTCATTACATATCAACGATATCGTTGGAACGGGAAATCAATCTTGTGCACTAATTATGTTTGCGGACGACTAGTTATTTGGTGAAGTAAAAATTTTAGATTAATTTTTTACAAGAGGCATTAGCTCTTCAAAAGGATGTAGATGATATTCGCCGATTTATGCTATCTTACTGTAATTATAAGCTTCATGGAATAAACCATATATTAAAGTAGAGTCCAATAAATAGTGAACACTGATTTTCCCATCTTAGGTCATAATGATGGTTAGTTTATTGGCGGCTTTCAATAAGCATTTTTGGAAACAGAAAGTCCAGTATTCACTATTTGGCACACTCTACTTTAATAATGTCATTCTAAAAAAAGTTGATAACACTAATAGGATAAGAGCTTCTTTCGATAATAAATAAGTTTCAGTACTCATGTTTTAAATATTATTAAGAAGTCTCACAAGCTTTTGATTTTATGTACAGAAACTGTCGTTCTTTTGGTGTTGCTGCTATTGTATTGGAATGCATTATATTTTTCCTTAGTGAGTTAATATGTTGTTCTGATTTGGAATCCTTGTTGTGTTTTAAAATAGATATTTAGTGGAATTTAATGTTAAAAACATTATGTTGGCAGTAGCAATGTGTTCCTTGTTCGATTTGACAGTTGCGGTCAAATTAATATCTGTCAAATAGTACATTATTTTAGAAATAAATTTGATGGCCTACTACATATACGACGTTTTTTAAATTATATGATATTTAGGGTCAATTCGATGTATGTGTAATGTCGGATCCAATACTTATAAACGAAGGTTGGAACCTACTCTCAAAATTACAATAAATATTCCCCGTAACCAACAGCAATCCAAAAATTGGTAAGCAAACTGTCTCCAACAATGCAATACTTGGAAAGTCGACAACAGTTTTTTACCTCGAATTCAAAAACTAAAAAATCCACTTTCCGGAAAATCAACGCATTGCATAAAACGCTCATCAGTTCCCGCAATCCCGCGTTAAGTTGACAAGGGTGTTAAATCAAATTTTCCCTATTTAGCCCGGCGAAGTCCAAATCCGTCGCCTGTGACCGCCGAAATTTGTCGAATTTTTTGCCCCCTTTTTTTCCTCCCGCTATCATCCGCGTCTGTTTCTCCTCAGTGTCACTCACCTGTCAGATCAAGCCGCGACCTCCGATTCCAGTCGCACCAACGCCGACTCCCAAACCGCAGAGCTTCCTTCCTCCGTCGCGGCCGCGGTCCTCTCCTTCCGAAGAGCGGCGATTCCCAGCCAGCATTCAACAAGTTGGTGGCCCGAGGCGCCAAAACAGCGCGTCCGGGGCACAAAGAGCCCCGCGCCCATTGGTCCTCCGCGGATGCTGTGCCCGAGAGGCAGGGGGCTGCCCGCGGCTGCGCGACTCCTCAGTAGTCCACCGGCCGTCGTCTTGAACGCGACTCCTCGGGCTCAGCTGCTGCGACCGCGAACAGTGGATCAGATCGGTTTTCGGGAGATCGGTTGGGAGGATTGGCTCGATGTGGGCTCTTTGCTGTGATTATGTGCAGTGTCATGTGGCGATTATTGTGTAGGAGCATGACCCATGGATATTTATTACAATTCTTTCTGCTGCTACTCTACCTGCTACAGGTAATTCGATGGTGATCGGGTGCATGGGCTGGCGCGAGGAAGACGTTCCCACGCTCGATGTGCGGTTTATTGGTGCTGGTAGGGCTGCGCTGATAACGGCAATTAATTGTAGCGTGTGTACCATTTAGCGGGGAAATGCCGGAAAACTCGCCGGGTTGTGGTTACGCTTTCAAATTTGGCGTTTTTCGGGTGTTTTGTCTTGGTTGTGACGCGATTATTCAGAAATTGATATTGTTGGTGGTAATTATGCAAAATATGGTAATACATTATAGTAATAATAATAATAGCTACTAAGAAAGTTGACATTTATAATGCATCTCTAGTTCAAAACCAATTTTCGCCCCAGTTTTTGTAAAAACCGTAGTCTCAAGACGATAGTATTGCGCACTCAGCGTCCGCAGGCGATGATCATTAGCAATTAGTGGGAAAAACAAGGGTTCCAACGCTTAATCCTTGTGAGACGCCTACAACTTTTGGCGTTGGAGGAGTTGTATCATTCACATGCACCTGTCGTACAACTTTTTTTAATTTTTTTATTTGTGTTTGTGTTCCTTTTTGTTTCAACTATCAGCCATTAAAAATTTAGCTCGTATCAGTTAATAATTACTACAAAAAATCGTTCTGTTTTAAATTTTAATGTAACTAGTCGACTACTACCTTCACATCCATAATGATCCTTTAATCTGCACTGTTCTCACGGTGTAAGAATCGTATTTTAGATGATTTAGCTGTATTAAACCAATTAAGATGAACGATGGTCATTACGAAGTTGTTTGTTTATAGCTATTTTTGTATTTTTATTGTACTTCGAATATCACCGAGTTCATATTATCTTGACAGCGACTTAACGTGGTGACTTTACACAAATATGCCAAAACTATCCTCCGTGCTTCTGTATATTTTGTTAGTATTCAATAGAGTCCGGAATTATATGCAAGCGATAAATTTGGATCACGATAAGAGAAAATATCACTTGAATTCATATTTTTTCGAAAACAGTTACTAATAAATTTATTTCAGCCAGAAAATTTATCAGCGTCAAAGTCAAAAAGAAAAATTTCGTGTAAAAATTGTACTGGTAAGCGGCGTCGGTTTAAAGCCACCATTTTTCTCTAAAACTCCAAAAAAAAAAAAAAAATCATTGATTTAAATCATCATTTTTTCACTTTTCATTTCAATTTACGAAAATGTCGTTAAAACGGCAGTATAAACTGATAGAAAATGTTTGTTTCTTTCATATATTTTCAAAATATATTTACGGTGTTTAAAGTGCATTTTTAAATTTAAATTTGTTTGTCCGTGGTCTCTCGTCTGTGCCGATTTTCTTAGACACATAATCTCCAAAATTCTTAGATCAATTATTGTTGTTTGTTGTCAAGTTTTATTTGTATTTTCGAAATATCGTGGCCATAACGCTAACTAAATTTGTCTGATCATCCCCGCCAACAATTTGATTACGTCACCCAAACATTTTGCATAGTATAAGATAACTTAACTCCGAAGCTTGTGATTTATGAATCCGAATTTATGAAGCAAATATGACTGTTTGATATCTAGTAGGCTACGTGTTTTGTGTGTAAGTTGGTACAACTGACATATTGTCAAGTTAATTTGAAATTCGACGTTTAAAATATTAATTGTGATTATATCCGAATTTTGTTAGTTCTCGCTGTTATTAATATAAGTTTGGTTACAAATGTTTACTTATTACTTGACATTTAACGTATTGGAATTTTAGGTTAAGTGGTGTGCAGCGACGCGCAAAAATACCAACTGATTTTAAAAATCCAGGCCTCCTACATGTCAAACATTAATGAAATAAGTTCTCATTATTGCTCACAACTCTTGTGAATGTGTCAAAATCCGTGGGAAATGAGAATTCCAATAATTAAATCAAACATAAAGCGCCATCAAAAACTGAGTAGGAAATTTTGACGTTTTCAAAATCTTGAAAAAAATTTAACAATCGTCAACATTTTTTTTATTTCACTGGTTAACGATAAGTAAAGACACCATTTTTTTTAACTCCAAAAAAAGTCAGTTAGTTTCAAAACGTTGACTCAAAAAATAATCACTGATTTAAATCCTTCTTGTTTTTTTTTACTTTTCCTTTGAAATCACGATAATTTGAAGAAAATGTATGCCCGTTTTAAATGCAGTTTAAATAAAAATAAAGTGAACACTGATCTTTCGTATGTCTAACGCTAACCAAAATTTGTCTGATCATCCCCGTCAACAATTTGATTACGTCACCCAAACATTTTGCATAGTAAATTCTGTTAAAATTTTGTAAGATGACTTAACTCCGAAGCTTGTGATTTATGAATCCGAATTTATGAAGCAAATATTAGTGTTTGATATCTAGTAGGCTACGTGTTTTGTGTGTAAGTTGGTACAACTGACAGATTGTCAAGTTAATTTGAAATTCGACGTTTAAAATATTTATTGTGATTATATTCGAATTTTGTTAGTTCTCGCTGTTACTAATGTAATAATTTGGTTACAATACTTGACATTTAACGTATTGGAATTTTAGGTTAAGTGGTGTGCAGCGACGCGCAAAAATACCAACTGATTTTAAAAATCCAGGCCTCCTACATGTCAAACATTAATGAAATAAGTTCTCATTATTGCTCACAACTCTTGTGAATGTGTCAAAATCCGTGGGAAATGAGAATTCCAATAATTAAATCAAACATAAAGCGCCATCAAAAACTGAGTAGGAAATTTTGACGTTGAAAAAAAATTAAACAATCGTCAACATTTTTTTTTATTTTACTGGTAAGCGACAGTTTTAAAGGTACCATTTTTTTAAACTCCAAAAAAGTCAGTTAGTTTCAAAACGCTGTGGTTCTTTAATCAGGGGTGGTCCGATTTAAATCAAGTGTTCAAAAAAATCACTGATTTAAAATCCTTCTTGTTTTTTTTTACTTTTCCTTTGAAATATCTACAATATGAAGAAAATGCATACGATATTCCATTGAAATTTTGTAAAACCACATACTTCCAAACCTTGCCACTTTTTGAGTTTTAATTCCAAATAATTGACAAACAAATTAAACAGATCAAAATTTGAAATTCAACATTTTTTTTATTTAGAGATCTGTTAAATCGGCAAAATTTTTCATACATATATTAATTTTATATAATTTTGAAAGTCGTTTAATATTATCTAATAAAATAATTGCTGTCACAATTGGCTAAAAATCGAACACTGCAAAATATGTAAAAATATGCGAAATAATAACAAACAAGCGTTATTAGCTAACACATATATGCAAAATGGCTCGAAAATGCAAATTCCTGTTCTTTAGGCATAATTATCTCATTTGAGTAAAGTGTTTGATATTCATTGTTTTTCAGAACTTTCTCATTCCGCCGGTGATTAGAAATTGGATATCAGAAAATATTTACTCTCGTGGTTATTTAAATTTAAACAGTCTTCGACTTGATAGGATTTTTTCAATCGTTATTACGTCCTGTTTTCAGTGCGCTATCGTTCTGGAACTATTCTCGTTGGCATAATTTAACAGCACTTGTTTTATTTAGCGACATCAAACAACAAATTTTTTTAGTGAAATGTTGTGTGTCGGAAAAATAACAATTAGGTGCATTTAGAAATTTGCAGTCGGAATCGGCTTTAAAAAACACGAATTGAGAGAGCTAAATTACGTTAGTGTTAACCATTTCGACGAAATGCATCCGGTCGCACAGGCGATCGCCGCCGCGCCGCCTCCTCTTCATTAGTTCGTCGAAAAAATGTAGGTACATCTATATTTAACTTTGTTTTTCCAGCCAGATTTTCGTTAAAACAAAAACACGCTAACTGATATTTTAAAAACTTCATGATTGATCAGAGTATCGTAATAATGCTTTAGCCCCTGCGAAATATACAAAATTTTATCTAGAACGAAAAAATTATAAATAGTGGCAATATTCCATAACCTCTAACAGTTGATGGTGTGACCTTAGTTCGTAAAAAAATAAAATCTTGGGCTATATATCATGTAGTGTCAAAAGTTTGCTAAAAACTAGTTTTATCGAAATTTAAGATGTTCCTGAAAACAATATTAATCGATACGTTCGTATTACATCTTTAATATGAATATATTATTGTGGCGACAACTAATTGAAATTTATCTGTCGTTACTGGCCACACAAAATTTATGTACAGAGTCGCGTCTTTTTTAAAAAGGTGACAATTTCGAAAAATTTCAAGTGTTAAATATACACAATAAATTTCAGTTCTAAATCATCTAAATAATACTGTAAGTTATATTATGCAGAAAACGAGAAATTAAATTACCGCTGCTTCCAAGAAACAATTTGTCATGCAAAAAACAAAATTTATATTGCTTACCAAATATGATTTCTGGTATTTATTTTAGATATTTAGTTAACTATGAAAATACATTTACGAATCCAACGAACTCCTTAAGTTGTCTCCGCATTCCTGTTATTTTTCAAATAATTTCGTCGACCACTTCCTCGCATTCATCTCTCAATTGTACTATAGAAATACGTTCCCCGGTTTATTTACGCAAATTTTCTTTGTAGATAAATTTAGCCTCAAAACCAAATAATCACAAGCCTCGCTAATCCAAACCCAAATAAAAACTAAGCCGGTCCCCGCGTGGCCCCATTCCCACCTACGCCCCTGCACAATTCCCACCTCCCGTGCGACAATAAACAAATGACATTCGTCAAAAGCCGTCCGAGATCTTCCACCGAGATTAATGTGTTTTTGTATACGTCCTGATGGTTCTATAGTAGTTTTTAAAGTTGTTTATCTTTGCCTTCCATCTTTAGTCACTCCGAGTGGTAGCCCGACAGGTTTTCCAAGTGAGGAAAAGGATCACAAAAGCCGTAACGCGTCGCAATTTTACGGCTTTTCCGCTAAAAACCGCTCAGCTTTCGCCGATTCGCCAGTTTACTGCGCCGCAAACCCAAACACCGGCCGATTAGTTTGTTTTTTTAATTAATGGTCGCCGATTGCACAA